TTTGTATTTTCTGTAAAGGTGGAGTTTCACTATGTCAGTCAGGCTGGTCTCGAACTCCTGACCACGTGATCCTCCCACCTCGGCCTCCCAAAGTGCTGGGATTACAGGCGTGAGCCACCGCGCCCGGCCCATTTTCCTTTTTTTCATAGGAACACTGATCATGCTGCACCCAAGGCCAGCACTAACCCAGTGTGGCTTAAGCTGATTTGATTAATGGGCGCAGACCCTGCTTCCAGTCAAGGCCACTTTCTCAGGTACTGGTGGGCATAAGTCTCTGAAGACAGCACGCAACCCCCGGCACTCTGTCAGCTTGGTGTCTGTGACTCATTTTCCCCAGAGGACAGGCGCCCCGAGAGGTCTCCACTCCCTGGCTGGCTCCGTGGTGCCAAGCACTCCTCCAGGCTTCCCAGGGAACAGAGCACACAGCACCACCCTCCTGGAAAGACCAGCCAGCATCTGTGCTCACAACTCTCGAGCAGGACAGTGGGGTGGAGCGAGCAGCCTGGGCTGGGCTCAGGAGGGGCCAGGGAGTGTCAGAGCAGGGTCTGGGGCCAATAAAAGCCCACCCCTGGGTGGGGGCTGAGGCGGGCAGGGGGCTGAGCCTCGAGGATGGAGAACAGGCTGTGGGAGGCATGAGGGGGAGTGGCGGGTTCTCTGGGTGCTTGAGGGGTGTTGGGGACCTCAAGAGAGGGCGGCTGGCCCTCTCTGGTCGGGGACGCTGGCCCAGAGACAGGCCATGGCTGGGTGAGGGTTCAGAAACAGGACCGCTGTCTCTTCTGGGCCAGGCCCCTCCTCAGCTGCCCTTGGCTATCTGGCTCTCGAGGGTGAGGGCAGGCCTGTGCCATGACCACACCACTGAGGCTGTGAGGAGGCTGTGGGTACCCACGGGCACCAAGGCATACCCCTACTCCCATGCCCCCATGTGTGGGCCTGAGCACCCGCCCTGCTGCCCCACGGATCCTGCAACATTTCCCAGGCAACGGTCTCAACACAGCCTGACTGCTTGGCACTCCCATACCCCATAAATGCTGCCACATCTGACTCTGGGCAGGCGTGTCTCCCTGGCAGCCTCGGGCTGGCAGGTGTAGGGGAGCACAGCCCACTGCCTGGCTGCGTCAGAAGGCTGCCCCGGCCTTTGGTCATCCTTGCCAGCAGGCGAGCACTGCCAGGGCACCTTGTGTGGGTGCTGTGCCATTTTGCCACGTGGTAGGGTGGAGACAGCCCAGTGCCTTGAGCATGTGCCCAGGCTGCCTGCTGGCCGCAGGTCTTGATCGGAAATTAGGAGGGGGCACCACCGCTGACTGCCCAGGCCTGCAGCCTCAGGGCCATCGCCGCTGCATTAACCTGATTTACAGGTGTCAGTGCTGAGCAGAGACTCTGAGGATGCCAGTGGCTGGACACTTGTTCCTTCAAGGTGGAGGAGTGAGAGAGGGCTGGCTCCCTGCCTGCGGCCAGCAGACCTCACCTGGCTTCTGAAACCAGCTCCATGGGCTGGGTCCCAATTCATGATCCATAGATGTGTCCTTTTATGCCACAGAGGGTAAGGGCCTCCCAGCCCATGGGCCTGCAGGTATGGGAGTAGGAGGGAGGCGGCTTCCATGCCCCCACCCACCAGAGCTCCTTCCACTCTGCCTGGGGCACAAACTCCCACGCTGAAAGTCTTTGGTAAACATGAATTTGCATGTGTCAGTGCCAGCCAGAAATTATTTTCCAATAAAGTGAAACTCCCTGTCACCACAGCAGCAGATGGCTTGGAAGATGTGAGCCTCTTCATCAAGTTCAGTTTTGAACCTTCCACCAGCAGCATCACAGTGTCGTGCTGGTAACTTGGGGATAGCCAGGACAAGCTGTGTTTGTTGGAGGCGAACGCGCTCACCTGTCTGAGAGTCTTGAGTGGCCGGTCCCTGTCTGGGCTGTGGGGAAGGCTGTCTGGCGGGAGGGCATTGGGGGCAGGCTTCCTGACAAGCGGAGGCACCCGCCACGTGTCCAGAACAGAAGTCAACCCCGGTGCCTTTCTCTGTGGACTTATCCCAAGCTGTAGATCACAGGGGCCTGCCCCGCCACCCCTTCCCCAGTGGTGACCTGGGAGGAGGGGAGATTAATCTGGAGTGGCAGATAACCCGGAGGGGAAGAGCCCCCAGGAGGACATCTGTGACATGTTGTGCTGCCTCTGCGTCCCCAAAGCACCAGAGGCCCTGCTTTCTGCCACACGGCACTGGCCTGGACTGGGGCCCCAGCTCCTCTTCTCTGGTGGCCAAGGGTAAATGAGACACCCTGGGGTGGCTAAGGCCAAAGGGGGTGGGGGCCCCCAGCTTCGGTGTTGCAGGCTGGAGCCAGGCTCAGCCAGCCCTGAGTCCCCACAGGCCTGGGTCTCCTAGCATTGGGCCACCTGCAGTGAGAGCTTCCCAAGCAGCCCATGTCAGCCGGGCAGCGCAGGTGTCCTGAGTCTGGGCCACTTGAGACCCCTCCCTGCTCCCGCTTCCCTCTGCCCCTCCTGGGCCCAGTGGCTGCAGCACCTGCGTCAGGGAGCCTCGAGGGGCCAGAGGGATGCTGAAGACCCCCAGCAAAGCTCTAGTGTTTGGCCTCCCGGGCTTGGGGCTGGGTCCTCCTGCCCAGAAAGGCCCCTGTTCTGGAGCAGCAGCTGCACACAGGGGTCCCTCACATGCTCCTCCAGGACAGGGCAGGGCCTGAGGTCCCCAGGTGCTGCCCAAGGGATGCGGGCATGGCAGGAGAAGGGTTCCAGAGGCTTGGAGCCCATCTGGAGGCCGGCGGTTTCACAGCAGGAGGGCACTGGATGGTGAGGCCACGTGGGGGACCACCCCTGGTCCAACAGCAGGTGGGGAGCCAGAGCAGGGAGCGGAAGGGTGAACGCAGAGGAAGGGACGAGAACACAGTCCCCACGCCCAGCATGGCCCAGAGACTGGAGCAAACCCTTGTGATCAAGGGCCTTCCTCCTGTCTGTTTTTTGAGACAGAGTCTTGCTGTGTCACCCAGGCTGGAGGACAGTGGTGCAATCTTGGCTCACCACAACCTCCACCTCCTAAGCTCAAGTGATTTTTGTGCCTCAGCCACCCAAGTAGCTAGGATTACAGGTGTGCACCACCACACTCAGCTATATTTTTATTTTTAGTAGAGATGGGGTTTTCTCCATGTTGGCCACGCTGGTCTCAAACTCCTGGCCTCAAGTGATCCTCCCGCCTTGGCCTCCCAAAGTGCTGGGATTGCAGGCATGAGCAACCACACCTGGCCTTTTTTTTTTTTTGAAATGGGGTCTCATTCTGTCATCCAGGCTGGAGTGCAGTGGCACAATCTTGGCTCACTGCAGCCTCCACCTCCCTGGGCTCAGCTGACCCTCTCACCTCAGCCCCACAGGCACACGCCACCATGCCCCGCTATTGTTTTATGTATAGAGACAAGGTCATGTTGCCCAGGCTAGTCTCAAACTCCTGGGCTCCAGCGATCTGCCTGGAGATTTGGCCTCCCAAAGTCCTGGGATCCCAGGCGTGAGCCACTGCACCTGGCCTTTCTCCTGTCCTAGGATGCTGCTGCCAGTCCTCCTGGAAGTCTCCAAGGCCTCTTGCAGACCGTGGTGACACTTCCAGGAGAGACCTAGAAGCTTGGAGCTGAAGCCGGGCAGCCAAGACTGCCAGGGAGCCCTGGACACTGGTGTTTGGGAGCGCGTGGTCAGCTGGCGCCTGCCATGTGGTGGACATAGAGCCGTGGAGATTCCACAGCTGGGCTTCTCTGCCTGAGAGCAGGCCCAGTCACCAGGCACCTCCCACAGGGCCCCCTGAGACCACACTGCCTGCAGCAGCCTCCCCGCACCCCCGGCAGCACTTGGAACTGCATCACCATTTGCTTACCCATGTTTCAGGGCCTGGGGGTTGATGCCTTCATCTTGTTCTGCTGGGAGTGTCCGACATCTAGAACAGAAATGTGTGCTGAAGAAAACCACTCATGCAGGGAGCGGGGACCCCCTGTCAATCAGGCCCTGCTCCTGACCCCTGCCCTGAACACCCACCCATGGCCTCCAGGCCAGGGCCACTTGGAGGACGTGGGCCACTTGCATGACCTGGGTTCAGGGCTTGGCCCCACAGCTGAGTTCTGGAGGGAGGGCACAGATGACGAGGGGCTGGGAGGGGCCTGGTGGGGAGTGGGAACAGCCAGGGAACCCTGCAGGAGAGGTGCCCAGCATGGCCCCAAAACTGCTGGGGCTGGGCAGGGCAGAAACTGCCACGGAGTCCCAGAGCCCTGAGTGGTGTCGGGCAAAGGCCCCGACCTGATCCCTGTAGACCCCAGCCCTTCTGTGAGGGAGAGGCCACTTCAGGGCCCAGTGGGCCCGAGGCGGAGGCAAGTGGCCTGAGCACAGCCAGGTGTGGGACGAGGGTGCCTGGGCGTCTGCTGCCACCAAGTGGCGGACTTTGAGGTCGCAGAGCCCAGGGTCCAGGCAGGAAAGCCCCTCAGCTGCCCCCGGGGTCCTGGCCCCGGCTCAGGCCTCGAGGCCCCAGTGAGTCCAGCCTTTGTCACTTCGCCTCTTGTTTCTTGGCCAAGGAGCTTGAGCTCCCCGCCTTTTGTAAAGCGACGGTGCTGGCGACGGCGGATTTCAGGCTTTATTTACTCCCGGAGTAGTCCTGGAAGGAGAGGCGGCGCCCAGAGCTGGAAGCGGGGCGGGAGCTGCGGGGTGCAGCCGCGAGGAGGCAGGGCCCGCGCGGGCCGGAAGCCGTGGGGGTAACGGAGGGGGCTCTGGCCCAGGGCTGCCTGGACGGGGAGGCGGGGCACGGGCGGGGCTCCCTCACCTGGCCTCCGCCCCACCCCAGGCCCCCTTCTGCGGTGCTGGACGAAGGAACCCCGGCCCCGGTTTCCTGCAGGCTGGGATCAGGGCCCCCCGGGGTTCCCACTGTCTCGGAGGCGGACGCCTCACCGCAGAGCACCGGGGGCGTGGCCTGGAGGCCGGGGCGGGGCCTGGAGGCCGGGGCGTGGCCTGGAGGCCGGGGCGGGGCCTGGAGGCCGGGGCGGGGCCTGTGCTCATTTCCGTCCGGCGCGCAGCTCCGATGGAGGCGGCCCGGAGGCCGCGGCCGGGGCTGAGCCGTCGGAGGCCGCCCCCGGCGGGCGGGTGAGGCTGGGGGCCGGGCGGGGGCGCGGTCGGTTTTCCCGCTCCCGCGTGCTTCCCGGAGCCCCCGCGGGCCTCCAGCCATCTTCTCCCGGTGGGGAAGGCTCCCGCCCCCGGGTCCTCCCCCACCCCGCCATTCAGCTCCCGCCTCCAGCCCCCACCCCAGCCTGAGGTTCCCCCGCGCCGCCCCAGGCCCTGCCCCATCATCGCGTCCCCCCTGAGGGCCCCCATCTCCCACTTCTGCCTTCCCCAGCCCCTTAGCAGTCTCCCCCAGCATCGTCTCATCCTGCCGAGGACCCCACATCTCCACCCCTCCCCCGCTCCCCGACCCCAGTACCTCTCCTCTTTTCACTGTCTGCTCTAGCAGGCCCTCCCCCAACCCTGCCCGCTACCTCCCCTAGTGCCCCCCATCTCCCCGCTCTCTGCTCCAGGCCCTCCCGGCCTCCCCCACCATAGCATTTCCCCTGCTGACTACCCCATCTCTCTTTTCTATCCGACCCAGGCCTTCTGGCGACCGCCCCTGGTTTCTCCTGGGGGGTGATGAACGGGAGCGTCTCTGGGTCGAGCTGCTGCGCACCGTGAGCCCAGAGTTGAGCCTGGATCAGGAGTTGCCTCCACTGCCCGCCTTCCCTGGACAGGTATGTCCACCAGGCCCATCGGAGTGGCGGAGGGGTTTCCAGGGTGGGGACCACCGCTGGGGCAAGACCCAACAGCTCTGTGTTGCAGGAGCGCAGCTGCAGCCCGGGAGCCACTGAAGTCTTCACTGTGGGACCCAAGACCTTCTCCTGGACGCCCTTTCCGCCAAACCTATGGGGCCCTGGCCGCTCCTACCGGCTGCTTCGCAGGGCAGGAGGGCACCTGGAGTCCCCCAACAGGTCCACTCCCCAGCACCTGGCACCTGATCCCTGCAGGGCACCCAGCGTGGAGCCGCAGCCGTCTGTGGAGGGTGCCGCAACCCTGCGCAGCTGCCCTATGTGCCAGAAGGAGTTCGCCCCCAGGCTGACCCAGCTGGATGTTGACAGCCACCTGGCCCAGTGCTTGGCCGAAAGCACAGAAGATGTGATGTGGTGAGCACCTTCCAGGGAGCCCAGCGCTGTGTCAGATGCCCGGACATGCCCTCCCCCCCAAGAAGCCCCTCCCCCACCAAAAGCCCCCTCCTCCCAGCTCTCCAGCTTGCACATTAAAGCAGGGTGCACCTGTCTGTTGTGATGAAACAGCTGCTTTTTTTCTGACATTTGGTTCAGGGCAAATTCACAGCAGTGAAATCAGAACCGGACAAAGCCCCAAGCAGGTCAGCCGACCCCTTCACCCAGCAGCCCCACTGAGGACGGGACAGGCTGGGGGTAGCTCGTTTTCCTGACTTTCTGGACAGACATGGTTAGCTCATGTGCAGTCACGGTTTTGTTTGGTCTGTTGAGACGGTCTCGCTCTGTCGCCCAGGCTGGAGCGCAGCGGCGCGATCTCGGGTCACCGCAACCTCCGCCTCCCGGGTTCAGGCAATTCTCCTGCCTCAGCCTCCTGAGTAGCTGGGATTACAGGCGCGCACCACCATGCCCAGCTAATTTTTTGTATTTTTAGTAGAGACGGGGTTTCACCATGTTGACCAGGATGGTCTCGATCTCTTGACCTCATGATCCACCCGCCTCGGCCTCCCACAGTGCTGGGATTACAGGCTTGAGCCACCGCGCCCGGCCAGTGGAGATGCTTTTTCTCATTTTTGAAGTCCAATGTGTATTTCTATATATTTGTTAAGTAAAGGGGAATGGAACCCAGTTTTGCTGACAAGGTAACACAAACTGCCCAGTGCTGGCCTCATGTCTGGTGATCTCTGGGCCCTTGGCCTCCTGAACAGGTACTGGGGCCAGGGCCGTGTGAACGATGCTGGTTCGTGACTTTTGGTTGGGTTAATGGGCGGTAGGTTTCACATCTCACATGGCCAGGAGACTGGGTCCTTCAGTCATGACTGACACCCTGGTCTTCTAGAAGCAAAAACAGATCAGGAAGGCGAAGGGAGCAGAGTCCAAAGTCAGCAGCCAACAAAACAAAAGAACGGCTGGCGCAGTGGCTCATGCCTCTAATCCCAGCCCTTTGGGTGGCTGAGGCAGGCAGATCACGAGGTCAGGAGTTCGAGACCAGCCTGGCCACTGTGGTGAAACCCCATCTCTACTAAAAATACAAAAAGTAGCTGGGCGTGGTGGCGTGCGCCTGTAGTCCCAGCTACTCGGGAGGCTGAGGCAGGAGAATGGCTTGAACCTGGGAGATGGAGGCTGCAGTGAGTTGAGATCGTGCCACTGCACTCCAGCCTGGGAGACAAAGCAAGACTCTGTCTCAAAAAAAAAAAAAAAAAAAGTCCAGGGACAGAAGGTACTGTTGGGGGCCCTGGGGAGAAATTCATGTTCTTGGCTGAAGCCCCGAGATTGCTGATGCTGTTGGGGTGCTACCCTCTGCCCCCCGGGTAGGGGCTTTTGTCTGGATCGCCTGCTTTTCCAGATAGCCTAAAAAAAAGACTCCCGGAGAAAGGAGATTCACGAGGAAAAAGTTGCTGTTTTGAGCATTTTAAGCCATTGCTGGAAGGTTGGCAGACGGCCTTGATTTTTCCTAAGTAGGCGTCAGTGAAGCCAGGTCCAGGCCTTGGTGTGTCTGGAATGCTTCAAGCACATTTTAACACTTGATTGTAGGGGAGAGCCGGTACTTTGGAACCAGAACTCACCTCTGAGGCTGTGGCCATGGCACCGGCAGGCTAGCTGGGGGACAAGCCCTCCCGTGTCTTCAGGAACAAGGGTTTGCATGGCCACCCCGGGCTCATGACCGCAGGACCCCAGCAAGGAGGCCGCCTGGCTGGAGTGAGTGGCCTAAAAGCTGGACTTGGCCTTGGCCCACCACCCTGTCCTGCGCAGGCGCCTCCTGCCTCAGCCCCCTGAGTAGCTGGGATGACAGGCGCACGCCACCACGCCTGGCTGATTTTTGTATTTTTAGTAGAGATGGGGTTTCACCATGTTGGTCAGGCTGGTTTCGAACTCCTGACCTCAGATGACCTGCCTGCCTCGGCTTCCCAAAGTGTTGGGATTATAGGCGTGAGCCACTGCGCCCCGCCAGTCATTAGGATTTTAACAGCCCTGAGGCCCCTCACATTGCCAGGTGCCTGCCCACTCTGCAGCCCTGCCCCCCTGCCCACACGCAGAAGCCACAGGAGGCTTCTGGGCCGGGCCCCCGCTGTCCTATAGCCTGGATGTACCTCGGGGCCTGGATGTGTCTGCTCAGCAGCCAAAGCCCCATGGACGTGGCAGGTCAGGCCGAGGGCTGAAGGCATCTCAGAGGGCCCCAACCAAGGGACACTGCCAGCAAACAGCAGGAGAAGATGACCTTGGTTCAGATCTTAGGACCTTCCAGTGGCCACAGGGAGAGCATGTAGAGGTGGGGCTGGTTCCTGGATGGGCAGAAGCAGGAAAGTCTCAGACTGAGTGACTCTCGGGGGCTTCAGAAGGCACTGGGTGGGCTCTGCCAGAGAGAAGGCAACTGCCGGCAGCTGGAGCCAGCCCCAGGAGCGGGGATCCAGCTATGGTCTGGAGAGGGGGACTTGAGGGCCGCAATGGCCACACGGACGGGGCACAGGAGCCCCAGGAAGGGACACAGCAGAGCCCAGGCTGAGCGGTGCTCCAGGGACTCCTCGGACGTGCCTGGTCTGAGGGCAGTGGCTGTAGGGGAGTGAGGAGTGGTGTGGTGACAGGTGGACACAGGGATACGTGTCCTGTGACTTATCCGCTCAGCGGAGGTGTGTCCCCAGCAGCGGTGTTCGAGGGAGGATTACCTGAGGGGACGCTGACCACTGGGCCTCCAGCAAGATCGAGGCCCGAGTCTAGGCTGCAGCCACCCACTGTGCCCCTGGACATGTCCCAGGCAGCTGTACTAAGTCCCCACCCCAGCAGCACCCTCTGGGCATCATGGCTGGAAGGTGACTCTCCTGGCTTCCAGGGCCACGCCTTGGCCAAGCCTGGGGAAGGTCACTCCCAGCCACTCCAGTTGGGCTGCGATGGGGCCGCGATGGGGCCAGATGAGGCCAGGGATAAAGTGGCTGTGCTCAGACACCCTCCTGCCCTGCCGGACGTCCAGGGCGCTGACCCACAGGCCTCGGTGGCTTTTCTCCTGCCACCTCTGCCTGGCCTGCCACCCTGCCGGCGCCAGCGCCCTCCTGAGAGGTGCAGGGGCTGCGTGGGGCCTCTAAATGTGGTGGGTTGGCAGCCCACATGCCGGCGACTGGGTCCTCCTCCGTGGTGAGGCTTGGTCCCCCCTCTTCGTCAAAAACAAATTCTCGGACTTGAGCTGCATAGCTGCTGCCAGCCATGTTTGCTTTTCCGCTTCCTGTACACGCGGTGGGGGCGTGGGCTCTCCCCGGCAGGCGGCTGCCCTCCTGGCTCTTCTCCGGGTCAGGCTGCCTGTCTGCCGGCTCCCCTGGCCTGCAGATGGGCTCCTGGGCTCTGCGTTCAGGCAGGCCCTACAATGAGCGTGTTCTCAAGCTGAGCAGGCGCCAGAATCCCATAGGGGGCTTGTTCAGACACAGCCCCCCACCCCCAGCTCAGACGCAGGGGGCGTGGGTGGCCTGAGCGTGGGATCGAGGGCCTGGCCTGGAGCAGCGTCCTCACGGGTGGGGTGTGGTCTGCCAGGTGCCTGAGCCCCTGCGGTGGCCCCATCCCTTACTTCTGAGCAGCCGGATCCTCTCCAGCGGCAGAAGCAGGGAGGGCCTGGAGGTCCAGAGGGTGCTCCCTGTGGCCAGCACGCCGTGGAGGTGGCCTGGTGACCACAGCTCCTCCCTTACAGGCTGACCCAGCTGGATGTTGACAGCCACCTGGCCCAGTGCTTAGCCGACAGCACAGAAGATGTGATGTGGTGAGCACCTTCCAGGGAGCCCGGCGCTGTGTCAGATGCCTGGACACGCCCTCCCCCGCCAGAAGTCCCTCCCCCGCCAGAAGCCCCTCTGCACCAGAAGCCCCTCTCCCACCAGAAGCCCCTCCCCCACCAGAAGCCCCTCCTCCCAGCTCTCCAGCTTGCACATTAAAGCAGGGTGCACCTGTCTGTTGTGATGAAACAGCTGCTTTTTTTCTGACATTTGGTTCAGGGCAAATTCACAGCAGTGAAATCAGAACCGGACAAAGCCCCAAGCAGGTCAGCCGACCCCTTCACCCAGCAGCCCCACTGAGGACGGGACAGGCTGGGGGTAGCTCGTTTTCCTGACTTTCTGGACAGACATGGTTAGCTCATGTGCAGTCACGGTTTTGTTTGGTCTGTTGAGACGGTCTCGCTCTGTCGCCCAGGCTGGAGTCAGGGGTGCAGTCACGGCTCACTGCAGACTTGAGGCTGATGACCCTCCCACCTCAGCCTCCTGAATAGCTGGGACTACAGGTGTGCGTCCCCACGCCCGGCTAATTTTAGTTTTTTGTACAGATTGGGGGCCTCTTATCATGTTGCCCAGGCTGGTCTCAAACTTCTGGTGTCAAGCGATCCTCCTGCCTTGGCCTCCTGAAGTGCTGAGATTACATGCCTCAGCCACCGGCCCAGCTTCCAGTCGGTTTTTTTTTTTTTTTTTTTTTTTTTTTTTTTTTTTTTTTTTTTTTTTTTTTTTTGAAACGGAGTTTCGCTCTTGTTACCCAGGCTGGAGTGCAATGGCGCGATCTCGGCTCACCGCAACCTCCGCCTCCCGGGTTCAGGCAATTCTCCTGCCTCAGCCTCCTCAGTAGCTGGGATTACAGGAACGCGCCACCATGCCCAGCTAATTTTTTGTTGTTTTAGTAGAGACGGGGTTTCACCATGTTGACCAGGATGGTCTCAATCTCTTGACCTCGTGATCCACCCGCCTCGGCCTCCCAAAGTGCTGGGATCACAGGCTTGAGCCACCGCGCCCGGACCCCTTTTTTTTTTTTTTTTTTTTTTTGGTGGAGTCTCGCTTTGTCGCCCAGGCTGAGGTGCAGTGGTGCAATCTTTGCTCACTACAACCTCCGCCTCCCAGGTTCAAGCGATTTTCCTGCCTCAGCCTCCTCAATAGCTGGAATTACAGGTGCCTGCCATCATGCCTGGCCAATTTTTTGTATTTTTAGTAGAGCTGGGGTTTCAGTGTGTTAGCCAGGGTGGTCTTGATCGCCTGACCTGGTGATCCGCCCGCCTTGGCCTCCCCAAGTGCTGGGATTACAGGCGTGAGCCACCACGCCGGCCCTCAGTTGAGTTCTAATTCCTCAAAGTGAACTTGCAGCTGTAGCGAGTTGTGAGAAGCGCAGGCTCCTGCTCCGTGTGCTGCGGGCTGCGTGCCGGGAGCTCCCGTTCCTAGGTTGAAATCCTCACCAGGTGGCGGCACAGGAGGCCAGGCCTCTGCCGGGCCAGGAGGTCGGGGCGATGGCTCCCGTGAGATGAGGGCCCCATAATGGAGATCCGGGGGACACAGGCCAGACGAGGGCCCTCCTCTGGAGCCAGAGTCTGCTTGAAGCCCCAGGTCCATGGTCATGTGTTAGGGCTGCAGGGGCTGAGACTCTTGTGGGGGCTCCAGGGCCTCATCGCCACCTGCCAGGGGCTTTGAGGCAGCTTATTCTGAAATGGGGAGTTTCTGGGGAAGGACAGAAGCAGTGGCTCGTGCAGACCTGTCAGCCACCGTCTGCTTGGCTCACCGTGTGGGCGGAGCATGGGGACCGGCGTCCTCAGGGAGCTTCCTGTCCACCTGCTCAGCCCCCTGGTTCTAGAGAGCTGGGCTCTGCTGATTCAGCCCTGACCCCCGTCTTCGGTGGCTGAGAGAACAGGCTGTGGGGTGGACGTGGTGTGGAAACCAAAGATGAACACTTGGACATCTGTATTTTCCTTTCAATCACGGCTACAGATGGGCCTCGAAAAACATGGAAACATGAACACACATCACTGAGTGAAAGAAAACGCTGCACATTGCGATTCCAACCCAAGGGTGTCCTGGAAAGGGCAACACCATGAGGACCAAAAACATCAGAGGGTGCAGGGGCGGGGAGGCGCAGGCAGGCGCCAGGGCGCAGGTCCTCCGCATCAGACGGTGCAGGGGCAGGGGGGCAGAGGCGGGCGCCAGGGCGTGGGTCCTCCATATCAGAGGGTGCAGGGGCGGGGAGGTGCAGGTGGGCGCCAGGGCATGGGTCCTCGAGGCCCCACAGTAGTGAATCCACACTGTCACAGGTCTGTGCACACCCATGGGACAGACGGTGCAGTGTGAGCCTGGCGGGGACTCTGGGTGTGGGGTGATGACAAGGGCACGCCCAGCAGCTGTCAGCAGTGCGCCCTGGTGAGGGAGGCTGGGCAGGGCAGGGCAGGGTTGCATGGGGACTCTGCACCTCCTGCTCATTTTGGTGGGAGCCTAAACCTGCCCTAACATAAGCCTACTTAAGAAAATGGCTTCAGGCTGGGTGCGGTGGCTCACGCCTGTAATCCCAGCACTTTGGGAGGCCGAGATGGGTGGATCACTTGAGGTCAGGAGTTTGAGAACAGCCTGGCAAACATGGTGGAACCCCATCTCTACTAGAAGTATAAAAATTTAGCTGGACATGGTGGTGGGCACCTGTAATCCCAGCCACTTGGGAGGCTGAGACAGAAGTGCTTGAACCCGGGAGGCGGAGGCTACAGTGAGCCACGGTAGCACCACTGCACTCCAGCCTGGGAGACAGAATGAGACTCCATCTCA